GGTTGGATATTCCTTATTGAATTAATTAGTATTGGTATTGCTATTTTATTTCTCATTTATGCTGGCTTCGGTAACAGACATGCACAAAATTTCAATACTAAATACTCAGTTGCTAATCAACAAGGCAACAGTCGTGTAATTATTAAGAACATGGGCTCTTTCATGTGTACTATTGTATGCATAATTTCTTTTGTTATTGGAGTAATTATTTTATATTGTTTGTTCCTATTCACATTACATTTTGTTTTACTTTACAGGTAATTATCGTAAAATTTACATTCCAATTGGCCAAACTTATCGGTGCCAAGAAAACTACAACCATTCAACAAATTCAGCGTACTGTTTAGTCAATAATTTCATCATATTGACTTCTACTAATGTTTGTAGTTTGTCCTACACCATGTATTTTTCCTTAGAAATACAGAAATAAATATCAAACATGCTTTCTTTTTCGATAACTTACTCAATAGAACAATTATTTGTCTTATCAAATAAGATCACTTGACAAATATAAATCTCTTATAATTACGAAATAGAAGAAATCAACGTAGTTAAAGTTATTCGTGTATTTTAATTGATATGATAAATAAAATGATTTCATTGAAATGCTGGTGTGGGTGTGGATTAAGAAAAGATTCCCGTTCATATCTCAACCTACATTCACACTCCACACCGTCACTAATACGAAAATGAATAATGTTAACATTGTTTGTCTGTCTGAAAAATGAAAGTATGCAAATGAATTAAAAATGTAGAGGAATAAAACAATTTGCTGAGGTTTTGATTTAAAAGATAATAACAACGTGATTATAGGACGATCAATATGCATTCAGGTGATTTTTTTCTGTTAGTTTTTGATAGCAAGTAACGTGTCAGTTCTACGATTCTTGCTTGATTCAATCCTGAAAAAGCGTAGGAGAGCCACGAAAATTTTTACGATCCTATTTAATATTATGTGAAAACGCTTGTCAGTGCCACCTATGTGGGTTTGAAATGTGGAACTCACATGTCTTCTCTAGCTTCGCTATACTAATACAAAATACACATTGTGGAAAATCTCGAAAAGACGATAGTTCTTGTGCAACAATAATCGATTGTCACAAAACGCTCTTCCCTTTTTTTATTTTCAAATTTTAAATAGAAATTTCGTTTTCGTTTTTTTTGAAAGGCACTCCTTTGGCATTTATTTCCTTTTTTTCATTTGCATAATGTATTATTATTACTATTATTCAAACTATTGATTTAATGAACAAAATAAGTATGTTCCACACATTCTTTATATCTACAGCAGATCTGCTTTACGTATGATTATTTGTTCATCATTAGAAAGATCCGATTCAAATGCCAAAGATTATAAGTAATGTTGCCCCTCTTCGTCGACAAACATTTTATTCAAAAATAAAACTGCATCATAGATATATAGACGATTACATTTTTAGTTTTTAAACACATGAAATAGCTTTGACAACACCCGGTGTAACACAGAAACCACCGGCTTGATAGAAACAAAACCTGTGACATGAAAGACAACTATAGCCGGGAAAACTTCGCGTGTAAGTGTTACATTCTTGATTTGTACAACAGTTACAAATACAAGTGCTATTATATTCACCATCTACAGCAAATGATGCTAGCAGTATGAAGATCAATGCAATGATAATTTTCAAGTGCATGATTACCCATGAAAAAAATTTTGCAAAAAATCGTGACAAAACGCGGTCTATGAAACCGCGGTTTTAGCCGTTTTTTTTTGATTGCAGGAGTCAGACCATCAATGCACCTTTGAATAACCCAAAAAAACCGCGGTTTCTAAGAACGCACTTTTTCGCGATATTCGTAAGGTGCATTAATGGTCTGACTCCTGCGATCGAAAAAAAACGGCTAAAACCGCGGTTTCTGAGGGCACGTTTTACTGCGGTTTTCAAAAGCTGCATTGATGGTCTGACTCCTGCAATCACACACAACCGGGTAAAACCGCGGTTTCTCAGGACGCGTTTTTCTGCTGTTTTTCAAAGCTGCATTGATGGTCTGACTCCTGCAATCACACACAACCAGGTAAAACCGCGGTTTCTCAGGATGCGTTTTTCTGCTGTTTTTCAAAAGCTGCATTGATCCCACAGAAAAATTTTCGAACGAAAACCGCGAGAAACCGCGGTTTCGCAAACTACGGTAACCAACGATTTTCCGAAACCGCGAAAGTCAGACCTTTTATGCAGTTTTTGAAAACCACCAAGACCCGCGGTAATTTCACACCACGGTTTTCATCGGTATCCAAAACCTCATAAAAGGTCTGACTTTCGCGGTTTTCTAAAACCGCTGGAAACCGCGGTTTTTTAGACCGCTATATACCGCGATTTCCGTGGCCACACCTGACTCAGGTATGGCCGCACCCATCTGAACTTATGATAAAGTTCAGATGAGCGACCCTTCAAGAGGCCTGTAGTGAACTTTTAGAAGTTCCATTACCACAAAGTTACTTTGTAATGAGAGATAGAATAAGAAAACTTATTGAAAATTTTCATGAAAATAGCGGGGCACGACATCCTCTTCGTCTTTACACATTCCATTGCGATGGTATAAGTACCAAAAATACCGCGGTTTCTCTGCTGAAAAACGCGGTAATAAATAATGCGGTTATTCGATGGCATACGGCGATTTCTGGAACCGCTGAATACTGTGGTATTTGCCACCGCAGTTACTAATGACTATACCGCGGTTTTATGAACCATTGAATACCGTGATATTTATCACCGCGATTACTAATGGCTATACCGCGGTTTTAGAAACCGCTTAGTACCGCCTTACTTACTACCACGATTACTGATGAATGTTCCGCGGCTTAAAAAACCACTCAATACTGCGGTACTTATCACCGCAATTACTGATGACTATGCCGCGGTTTTCAAAACCGTTGCATACCGTGCTATGAAATACCGCGGTTTCCAATTACCATACCGTGACTTTTTAGACCGTTGAATAGCGCGGTATTTTTTATCGCAATAAATAATGACTATATGGCAGTTTTTGAAACCGCTCAGTACCGCCCTCATTAACCACCGCGACTACTGATGACTATACAGCGGTTTTAGAAACCCCTAGATACCGCGGTATTTATCACCGCAATTATTGATGACTGTACCGCGGTTTTTACAAAACCGCTCAATACTGCGGTATACACCACCGCGGCTATTGTTGACTATACCGGGATTTTAAAAACCACTCAATGCCGCGATGTTTACCACCGCGGTTGCTAATGACTATACCGCGGTTTTTGAAACCGCTGAATACTGCGGTATTTATTGCCGCAATAACTATATGATTATACCGCAATTTTTGAAACCGCTCAGTACCGCCTTACTTACCACCGCGATTACTGATGAATATACCGCGGCTTAAAAAAACCACTCAATACCGCGATATTTATCACTGCGGTTACTGATGACTATGCCGCAGTTTTCAAAACCGTTGAATATCGTGCTATGAAATACCGCGGTTTCCAATTACTATGCCGCAAATTTTTAGACCGTTGAATACCGCGGTATTTAGAACCGCGATTATGAATAAGAGCAACGCGGTTCAAAAACACCGCTACCAATCGCGGTTATCCAATCCAAACCGCGGTTTCTTCTAGTAAAACCGCGGTCGAATGAAAAATCCGCGGTTTCGAGCGGTTTTTCGGAAAAAATTTATTTTCTTTCATTCATCTTGCTTGCGAATAAGACAAAAACAACTCTTCTTTTATATTAATCGAAACCAAAAACTCTGCATTATTAATAGTCCTTTCTATAAGACTTTGTAAACGAACAATACTTTCTTTTGCAATTCCATTTTGCTTACTTTTCAACAAAATGATATTTTCAAAAAAAAAATAACCAAGAGCATTTGTTATTAGTCGATTTATTTAATTTGCACCACGATTTCAAACAAACGAATTACGTAATCTAGTTATCGGACTAGATCAAACTCCATCTGTTATATCGACTTAAATAATGAATGAGTAATCATACGCGTATTCGAAATCATTAGAGATTTCGTCACACATAAACCAAAGATCACTGCTATATAAACCGCTAATATCATTAAGCCTAAACTGCGGTTATTGTTGAGTATACCGTGGTATGTGATACAAGTCACAACCGCTATATTTAATACCGCGCTGATCATTGAATATATCCCGGTATGCGATACCGGTCACAAGCGCTATATTTGATATAGCGGTTATCATCCAGTATATCGCGGTATGTGACACCGGTCACGCCTGCCGTATTTTATGCTGCGGTTTTAATGAAGGAGACCGCGGTATGTGAAATCGATTGTAACCGCTATATTTAATACTGCGGTTATTATTGAGTGCACTGCGGTGTATGAAACCGCTTACAACCGCTATATTTAATACCGCGGTTATCATGAAATATACCGCGTTATGTGGAACCGATCGCAACCGCTATATTTAGTACGGTGGTTATCATTAAATATACCGCGGTATGTGAAACCGATTGCAATCGCTATATTTAATACCGCGGTTATCATCGAATATATCGCGCTATGTGGAACCGATCGTAATCGCTATATTTAATACCACGGTTATTATTGAGTAC